TAGTGTTTCCTGGCTGTGCAATTCTACACACACACACACACACACACACACACACACACACACACACACACACAACGATGCCAGCTTGTCTAAGTCAGAATCCATGGGGTAGGTAATGAGGCCTCAGCATGCATGTTTTGAAAAAATGCCACAGGTAATTCTGATGGACAAACAGCAAGGATCCAGACTCACCAGGAACCATTGCTCTGGACTGAAGGGGGTGAATGGTGCTGCTTTTGATGAAAGATCAGTATGATTTGAGTGTTTTAAAAAATGAAATATGAATATAAATTATTAGTTGAAGCACCTAAACTGAGGAATGAGTGTTGTAATATTGTTAATATTAATACTGTAAGATCAGGCTGAAGAAGCTGTCTTAATGGACTGCATTTTTGTAAGTGCTGATTTAGTCCAAAGCAAAAGTAAGAGCTGTTTGCTCATCATAAACTATACTTCTCAGGGGTCTTTGGACTTCCTTAAAAAATTAAGGCAGCCAGTAATGGAAACCAGCTGACTATACTCTCGAGATTGGGTTGCTCTGTGTGTCTGGTTCTCTCCATTTCAAAAAGTGGAAGATTAATATTTTTTAAGAGACTTTTGAACTGAGAGATATTGATGTTTTATTACTATTATAAACAATTCTAGGGGGAAAATACTCATTTTATGATGGATTTTTCCAAAGGTGACTATCTTTAGTTCACTTTCGGTTTACAGTTTAGATTTCTTCTGTCAACATTTATCTTGACAGATTTTTATCTGCAACTTTTGAGAGCTGTTTCCTTGGGGAAGACCCTCTCAGTAGGAATCACTTTGTTAGCCACTTTCAGGGCTGTGTTAACTGCTTTAAAACAGCCATAGCAAGGGCGCCTGGGTGGTTCAGGCAGTTAAATGTCTGGCTTTGGCTCAGGGTTTGATCTCAGGGCCTGGGAATGAGCCCCGCATCTGGCTGCAACTCAGTGTGGTGTCTGCTTCTCCCTCTCCCTCTGCCCATTCCCCTGTTCATGCTATCTCTCTTTCAAATAATTAAATAAAATCTAAAAATAAAAAATAAAATTAAAATGACCATAACCACAACTTCCTGGTCCTCAAATGCTGTCCTCTTCTGCCCACAACTGGGCTGTGGTACTTTCCTTTTTCTGCTTTTCTGTTTTACAGGCGTGACACAGCACATCTGTAAAATGGACCAGAAGTGTGTTAATGCAGGAAGACGAGAGACATAGGAAGGTAGAACAAATAATTGAGGATTCTTTTACTTATTGAGAACAAATATATAGGCAAAGACACTTATCGGTAGCTTGAAAAACTTAAAAATAGTGGGGAAAGGGTATAAAAATTCCGTCTTGGAACACAGGAAGCACCTAGTCATGAAACATGTTGTCTGCCATATTCTCAAGTCCTAAAGCACTCCTTAACATTACTTAAAAGAGAATAAAACCTATACTTCGGGGGGGGGGGGAGGCTGTGTGTGTGTGTATTTTAAAGGTTTTTGATGTTGTTTGATAACTTCAGCTGCTAATCTTTTTGAGTAGCGCCTGTAATGCCAGTGTGACAGAAGAACTCCCAGGTCCCCACCTGCAGGTATCTGCAAACAGCCATGGGCTACTTTTCTGTGGTTTAGCTACTTGGAAACAAGCACATGGCCTCTGTAAAGTATCAAACATTTCAGCCACAGAAATGCCTTAACATTCTCTGCTTAAAGATCACTCTTCTGGCCTTGAACTTGTAAGAAAGGAAAACTTTGTGGTAGGGAGGTGGCCATTTCTGAGGATATGCAATTTTAATGCCAAGATGTGGGTAGTTTGTTTCTTCATGAAGGTTTAGGCAATGCTCATTTCATCTGTTGACAGAGGCAGCGTGGTGGATAAGCCCAGGATTGAAACCGAGTTCCTTTGGGCAAGTTACCTACCCACCCCCACCCCTGTGCCTCAATTTTCCCAGGTGCAATATGGAGATAGTAATGGTACCTCGCTCATTGGCTATAGTGACCCTAAGAGTGCATGTAAAGTACTTACAAGGCTTGTAGTGAGGGCTTTGTAAGTGCAGACTGTCCCTGCTACCATTCCTGTTACGATTGATTATTAGTGTTAACTCTTCTCTGCTCCCAACTCATGGTGTTTGTAAAACCTGCCCACCTTCTCCTCTTGTTTTTTTTTTCTTTTGAGTTTATTTACCTTAATTTTTTAGACTTCTGTTTTATTTAAAATTTCAAACATGTACAGAAGTAGAAAGGACATTCATAGGAAAATGCTATTTTTAAAGATAAAAAAGGCAAAATGTCACTTGATGTATAAAGAATAGAAGTTGTAAGCCTATTACCTTGAGATAACGTTTTAGATGTTCTTATGCACACGTACTGTACATAGTTATAATTCTATAGAGCATACCTTTTTTTTAAGATTTTTTATTTATTTACTCATGAGAGAGAGAGAGGCAGAGACACAGGCAGAGGGAGAAGCAGGCTCCATGCAGGGAGCCTGATGTAGGACACGATCCGGGGTCTCCAGGATCATGCCCTGGGCTGAAGGTGGCACTAAACTGCTAAGCTACCTGCGCTTCCCTAGAGCATACCATTTTATGGACTTTATCCTCTGACATTAGGAAAATAAGTATAGGGCAGCCCCAGTGGCGCAGTGGTTAGCGCTGCCTGCAGCCTAGGGCGTGATCCTGGAGACCCGGGATCGAGTCCCACGTTGGGCTCCCTGCATGGTGCCTGCTTCTCCCTCTACCTGTGTGTCTGCCTCTCTTTCTAGCTGCGTCTCTATGAATAAATAAATTTAAAAAAAAAGGAAAATAAGTATATTTTATTCTCTAGTCTTTGAATAGTTTTCAGTGGTTTTATACCATGAATAATTACTGATTTGTTGAACATGTTGCTTCCTTTTTAAAAAAATAATTGTAAGTAAAATAGCAGTGTGATTGAGTTATCTTGGAAGGTTATTTTTGTTTTGCTTTTTTGATTAGGAATCTCTGCATTTATTTTCTGGTGTATGGGAATCGTGGTTCTTTGGGAAGTTAGCTTTATGAAGGAGAAATAGCTCCAGTCTGTGCAATAATACCAAGTCTCTTTTCCCTGGGTTCAAGGTAAACAAGCTCTGTCAGTACCTGGTGCATGAGAATGGGACTATGCTAGACATCCTGGGACTCTCCGTGACATTACTGTCTAGACCTGAGCTTATTTAAATATAAATTGGGGAAGCCTGAGTGGCTTAGTGGTTGAGCTTTCAGCCCAGGGCGTGATCCTGGAGTCCAGGGATCGAGTCCCACATCGGGCTCCCTGCGTAGGAGCCTGCTGCTCTTTCTATTATATTTGTAGGGTTTTCTTTTTTTTTTTTTTAATTTTTTATTTATTTATGATAGTCACAGAGAGAGAGGCAGAGACACAGGCAGAGGGAGAAGCAGGCTCCATGCACCGGGAGCCCGATGTGGGATTCGATCCCGGGTCTCCAGGATCGCGCCCCGGGCCAAAGGCAGGCACCAAACCGCTGCGCCACCCAGGGATCCCTTTGTAGGGTTTTCTAAAGCAGAAGATACAAACATTGGCTGCCTGGTTTTGTATATAAAGTTTTATTGAAACACATCCATATCCATTTGTGGGTGCTTTTGTGCTACAGTGGTAGAGCTAAATGTTGAATACATGCAATAGAGTCCAGATGTCGCCCACAAAGTCTAATTTACTCTGGCCATTTATGAAAGAGTCAGTCAGTCCCTTTTCTCTAGACCAGGATTTCTCAGCTTCAGCACTATTGAATTTTGGTCCAAGTAATTAGGTGTTGTAAAGGGCTCTCCTGTGCATTGTAGGATGTTTAGCAGCATCACTGCCTCTGTCCACAACGGCTGGTACACCACCTGTCCCCCTTCCCCATCCAGGTGTGACAACTAAAAATGTTTCCAGACATTATAGGATGTCTGCTGGGGAGCAAAATCACCCCTGGCTAAGAATCACTAAGCTAAATTGATGTGGCTTGACCAAACATTCATTTATAATACTGCATTAAAGTGCTCACTCTAAAGGGGAAAAAATATGTTAAGAGAGCAGAATAAATAAAAGAATAGTTTTATGCTGCTATACTCTAGCATTCCTTCCAGAAACAGAAATTTTTTAATAAAACATGATAGAGTAACCAGAGTAGGGCAGAGAGCTGGAAGCACTAAGATTCCACAGTTTACCGTTTGCTGAGCAGCAAATAGAATGGAAGTTATAGCATCTCTGAAGTGATGGGAACATGTAGTTTATTTTACAGGTTTGCAAGGCCTATTTCCTTTATAAAACACTATATGACTGCAGAGTTCTTGTTGACTCTGCTGTGTGTATAAATGTTATCCGTGTATACCCAGCACCTTGTGCTGCATCTCGCAAGAAGGGAGTTAGCAAATGTTTATTAAAATGATTGTCAATAAATTCAATAAATTGGTACTTCTCTGTCTTATTATCTATGATTTTAAGTGGCCTATGTAGGTTCCTACTTTCATTAGCCAGAAGAATTTAAAAACCGGTTCTATTTACCTCCATTGAAGGTGATGAGAATTGAATTAAACATCAGGCCTATAAAATTGTGTTCTTCTGAGATCTGGCGCTTGAATACTTTTCAGAGTGGGGATTTTCAAATTTGTAGAAAGAGGCAATATTAAGAGACTACCCATTTTGTAAGGATATAGAGTGGTAGAGTTTTGGGGTACACATTTTAATTAAATGATGTATGTACTATTTCTGAATTCTTGGTTTAAAACATGGAGTGAATTCAAATTGGGATGATTGCCTTTGAAAGTGAGTATCAGGTATACCTTTATTTGGTTCTTTAAATTAAAATTAAATATTAAATTTTAAAATTGGTATCAAAAGGAATATGTTATAGAGATCACATGTAATGGAGCACACTTTTATGGAACACTTTCATGTGGTTGATTATTTCAGAAGATAAGCACTTTTGACTGCTGAACTCAAGTGAATTTTAGGTGACTTGTTTTTTTCCATGCATGACATATTTCTGTTTGTTTTTCAGATCTTACCAATATATTTGAGTCCTTCCTGCCCCAGTTGTTGGCCTATCCCAACCCCATAGATCCTCTCAATGGTGATGCTGCAGCCATGTATCTCCACCGACCAGAAGAATACAAGCAGAAAATTAAAGGTAAGAAGGCAAATAGTTTAACCTGGAGACAGAAAAACTTACATGTACTGGGCTTTCATCATTAAAAGCCCTTCTTAGTTACTAATAATTTTTCTCAGGCCTTTAAAGAGACCACTGTCTGTGGGCTGGAGCGGAGCTCACTGGCCCCTGAAGGTCCCAGCAAGGAAGAGGAGAAGGAGCGAGAAAGAGCAAAAGGAAAGACGAGAAAATGGGAGGCACCTGTTGGGTGGTGGTACATGTAACCCTGCCGGAAATCCCCATGGACCTCTGTACAAAAGAATCTTAGCCTCTATTTGTTTCCTCTTGTCCTGTAAAATTAGAAAATTGGACTCAAAAGAGTGAAATCTTAATTGAAGGGCATAATCTCACATTTGTTTACAGATAGTATCATCTGGCCTTTCAGAAAAGCAGTTAACTTTGGAAGTTGGGAAATGCCAAATTTATCCTTATACTTTTTTTTATTGTATCATTTTACCTGTTGAATTAAGAATACCCGGCTGGCTTCTTTTCTTGGCCCCATACTGATTTTCTTTTACTTTGGAAAGTTTACATCTGGACACATTTGTCTGCTGTAGATACCTGGCCCCAGGGCCCAGCTTTCTAGCAAAACGTGAAATGTACTGTTCAAGGTTAGAAGTGTGCTGGTAGTAGTAGTGCTAGTTTGTCCATCCTTTAGGATTTAGAATCCTACTATTTTCTCATTCTTAAATAGTTTACCTGCTAATGAGACATAAAGTTCATTAAAATGAACTTATGGTTTCAAGAGAACATCTGTAGCTTCACCCTGGCTTACTGGTGTTCATTTTTATTCTGCATGCTTCAGATCCTTCATAGTGAAAAAGTCTAGATAAAGTTCCACCAGAAAGGAAAGGAATTCAGAGTCCATGAAAGTAGGTCTGCTCTTCTTACCAAGTGGCAGGCATTGGTATTTACCTAATTTTTAGCATGACTTCTGCCAATTGTGTGGCCCCTCTGGGGCCCATCTGCGGGAGATGGCAGTAGGAATAATTTATGAGCGCCTGGAATATATAGGTCTTCCCTCTTAACTGTACTGGTATGAGACAGGCACATCTCACGCTTTCCTTTTGTTTTCTCATTCTCCCCTGATCTTTGTAGGGTACTGTTTGGCACTTCTGTTGAGATAAAATAGAAATAAATCTACTCTAATTAATTTACTTAGGTCTCAGGTGTTTTGCAAATTAATATCTAATTTATGTAGCAAAATATCTGTATAGCCAAACAAGTATTTCAAAGGAAAAAAAAGCATTCCATTTCAACCAGATAAAGTTCTATTATGAGACTGTATTAAAATTGTGACACAAACATCACTTAACAGTATCTGCAGCCCACAGATATCTCATTGCAGAGCGTTTTTCTCTAGTTCTTACATTCATTGTGCCTCAGCAACATGATTCTTGTTTTAGTACATATCTGCTCTAGTACCAGTTACAAAAGGAATCCAATCTACATTTTTATTAGCACGCACACGTGAGCAGGGCGGGGTGGGGCAGGGAGGATAGAGGGAGAGAGAAGCAGACTCCCCAGTGGGCAAGGAGCCAGATGCAGGGCTGGATCCCAGGACCCTGAGATCATGCGTGACCTGAGCCAACCAGGCACCCTATGTTTTTATTTTAGAATGGCAAGCTCTAGCTTAGGGAATTTGAGCTTCCTGAAATGTCATTGTTGGCTATCATTTTGTCTTCCTGCGTAATGTGAAAATCAGGGCTGATTGCTTAAACACGCTCCCCTGGCCCCCAGCCTGAGGTTGTTCTCCCAGTTCTCCTGCACCCAGCCTGTCAGAGGCATCCCTGCTTCAGAAGCCTGTGTCTGCTCCCATGGACCTCTTGAGGAGTCCTGTTCTTTATTTCCTGTCATTTTCAAACTCCTCACTTCCTTGCCCTAAACTCCTGAGGTCTAGTTTGTTTTCCCTCCTCCTGTGTTCTCATTTCTTCCTAATCATATGCACCCTGCTCAAGAACCATTTTCCAGACTTCTCTGCAGCCTTGCTATTTTGGCCCTTCCCTTCCTGAAAACCTTTCTCATTCCATTCCCAAACATGGTCAATGGTCATTCTTTTAAGATTCAGTCATTTAACCCGCCCTCACTCTCCCTCCCCACCTGGGGAGCTGATTCACCCTTCACAGCTACCTCCAGGTAGGTGATTTCCAAAAATGTGTCTAAATGGGCCTTCTCTCCCAGGCTGCTACCAGACATTTCCACGCTTGGTAACCTTTCTTACTGTGGATTTTAGTCAATGATCACATATAGTTGATTTTTTAAATTGTGTAAGTATGAGCTGCCTGTAGGATAGGACACTTGCCTGCTTAAAAACCTTTACTGAGTGACATCTTAGCCTGCCATTCATGGCTCTCTCTCACTGTGTGGTGAGCTCCATCTTTGCCTTTACTCCTAAATGTATCACTATGTGACCATCAAATTGGATGAGTTTGCCAACTATATTCCCTTCCTTAGGGAAAGTTTCAACCCTACAAAACAAACAAACAAACAAACAAAAACAAAATAACTTAACCATATGCTCACCATCTAACTACAGCAAGACCTATACATTTTGCCTTGTTACAGATATAAACATAGTTCTCAGGGTTGTTTTAACCTCCCGGCCATGGCCTTCTCCCTTGTGCTTTTGGCAAGGCTGTGCATTCCCCTGGAGTGGCATGTCCTATTCTGCAGCTAAGAATTCCTTCCAGGGTCAGGTCAGGTGTGCCTGGCTTCCTGGCTCTCAGAGGCCAGGGTCCCTTCCTCCACACTTCCCTCCGGTGGAACTAACTGCTTTTATCTGCATCTGTGTCTCCTGCTCATTAGTGACCTTGCTCTTTATTCTTCTATCTCCTAAAAACCCTTGTCCTAGTAAGCTTAGCACTTAAGACATATTTATTTCCTCAAATATACTAAAGGGGACTAATAGTATCACCTTATAGCGTCAGAAATATCAAAGTGCAGCAACTTTCTACAAATGCAGGGACATAGCTGACCCAGTAGAGGGTAAAAATAACATTTCTAAGACTGTAATAAACATTTCTCTTTGAAGAATAAATTCAGGTAAGTTCTTACCTAATCAGAAGCTTTTAGAACCTCATCTCCACATAAAACTTCATTATAATGACTTTGTAGGGTTCTAAGAAGTCTACAAACTTTTTCTCTAAAGGGCCAGATTTGGCCACAAATAGAGTCTCTGTCACATATTCTTTCCTGCCCCCCCCCCCCCTTTTTAAACAACCCTTTAGGGATTCCTGGATAGCTCGGTTGAGCATCTGACTTCAGCTCAGGTCATGATCCCAGGGTTCTGGAACTGAGTCCCACATCGGGCTCCCTGCTCAATGGGGAGTCTGTTTCTCCCTCTCCCCCTGCCACTCCCCCCACCATTCATGCTTGCTCACTCTCTTTCTCTCAAGTAAATAAATAAAATCTTTAAAAATAAATAACCCGAGACTCCTGGGTGACTCAGTGGTTGGACGTCTGCCTTTGGCTCAGGGCATGATCCCAGAGTCCCCAGGATTGAGTCCCATGTCAGGCTCCCTGCGTGGAGTCTGCTTCTCCCTCTGCCTCTCTCTCTGCCTCTCTGTGTCTATCATGAATGGGTAAATAAAATCTTTAAAACAAACAAACAAACAAGGACGCCTGGGTGGCTCAGTGGTTGAGCATCTGCCTTCGGCTCAGGTTGTGATCCTGGGGTCCGGCAATCCAGTCCCACACTGGGCTCCCTGCATGGAGCCTGCTTCTTCCTCTGCCCGTGTCTCTGCCTCTCTCTGTGTGTCTCATGAATAAATAAATAAAATCTTCTAAAAAATATAACCCTTTAAACATATAAAAAAGATTCTTAGCTAGCCCCTGTGTGACATCATTCAAACTTGGCAGGCCCCTTTGACCATGTTCCTCATCTTTGGCATTTGGGCCCTGTGATTCCATAGGAGAAGAAACAAAACGTAAGGACCGGCGTGTTTCCCCCCTTCTGACGCTCTCGATAGGGTCTGTCTTACCTCTTTATATTGTGTGTGTGTGTAGGCTATTTACTTAAGAACAGTGTGCACTTAGAGTTTTTAGGAACAAGTTTGTTTGTTCAGCAGTTCTTAAAATTCTCTCTCAGCCTAGGCTATAGATGCATAAATCTTCAGGTAAATAATAGATGATTAAGTCACTTGGGCTCACTGTGTCTCCAGATAGCAGCTCATTCCTGAGCAGATTGAGAGACTGTTTTCACCAGCTGCTTCAAAAACCTGACAGGCAGGATCTGTTTAGACTAAAATCTATTCCTAAAATAATAGATTTGGGCTGACTGTAATTATATAACTGCAAGTCTAAAAATGATGGGGGATTTCCTTATAAATTACTATGGAATCATAACTAGTCCTGCTCTGCCTGGGAGGTGAATAGTTCTATTAACAGAGAAAAAGAAAGGATGGGGTTTGCACTTCCCCAGTCCTGCAAGGTTGGAGGAATGCAGCCACATGGATAGGCAACAAGGCAAGAGTGAGGGTGCCCAGGCAGCAGGAGGGGAGGCCAGTAAACACCAGACACTGCCCGGGGTGGGTCGGCTGCCTTGTACACATCCACCTGGGAGGTGCTCACACACCTGGGAGGTGATGGCCCAAGGGAGTTCTGGGATGGAGGGTGCAGTGTGTGTGTGTGTGTGTATGTGTGTATATATCAGACATGCTACTTTTGCCTCTTTTACTAAGGGGGCAAAAGGCATGAACTCCAAAGACGTCTTCCATGGGATTTTCCCCTTAGCTTTAATGACCATGAGAAGGTCCCCTTTCTTACCCTCGCCCAGCCCGCCCCAACAAGTAAGGAAGGCTCCCCAACAAGTAAGGAAGGCTCGAACTTCCCTGGGACTTTGCCAGCTTTGGGTTCACTGAAGCACTTGCCTCCCTGGTCACCACCCCTGTGTTTTCTTTATTCCTCTCCCCCTACCCCTCCCCCATGCAGAGTACATCCAGAAATATGCCACGGAGGAGGCACTGAAAGAGCAGGAAGAGGGTACCGGTGACAGCTCGTCGGAGAGTTCTATGTCTGACTTTTCGGAAGATGAGGCCCAGGATATGGAGTTGTAGTAGAAAAAGCACCTGCTTTTCAGAAAGACTATTATTTCCTAACCATGAGAAGCAGACTATAATATTCATATTTAAACAAAGCAATTTTTTTTATTACTAAACAAGGTTTTTATGAATAATAGCATTGATATATATATATTATATATCACCCTTTAGATCTTGATTTCTTGGTCATTTCTCAACCTGAGGTGCATAGCATATTCCCACATTCCATTTTGGTAGCAATATGCGGTCTGAATGCATGCATTCATAAGTCCATTTTGGCCAAGTCAGCCTGTGTGCTACTGAACTGTCAAAAGAAATAGCCGCTCTGATAGGTAGACATGAGTAAAACTAACAGGAAAAAGTTGCTTCTTTTATTGATGGTTCCAAAGAAACAAACCAAACCAACCAGCTCTTGGACGTGAAGATAGAATAGTGCTTTTTCAAAATGGACGGGAGGAGCCGGGGGAGGAAAAGGCCTGCTGTGGGAAGGTGTAGAGCCAGCCGTGTCAGAGCCACAGCCATTCCTTCCTGTGAGTCCTGGGTGGCCCCATTTCTGTGGAGTAACGGTATAAGATAGCTAATTGGAGTGTTGAAACCTAAAACCATTTGACTCTGGATTTTAAGTACATTTTTATGTGTAGATTCCTGCCTGTCTTGCTATCAGGCCCTGCAGCCCACAAGTGTTTTTGCTTTGGAGAACCTTTTGGAAGTGTTTTCTGAACCTGATTCTTTTTCTTGGGGTGGAGCTTGAAATCCATACCTTTCTGAGAGGACAGGACAGGAGGAGTAAAGTGACTGGGAAGGTATTTCATCTCATCCAGCATGTGCAGAGTCACATCCTCATCTTATTTGCCACTTTGTGATGCTACCCTGGACTAAGAGCTTTAAATTTGAGGTTGATTGTGGGTGGTTTTGTTTGGGTTGGAGCTCCCCCCCCCATCCTTTTTCTTTCTTTCTTTCTTTTTTTTCTTTTTGGTGTGTGCATGTGAATTGTGCTTAGGTTGCAAATTTAATCTTCACCTACCAAGAGATGGCCTCCTCCTTGGATAGCCGCTCAGTGGACCATTAGACTCAGCAAGAAGACCCACCTGTGGCTATTACTCCTGGGTACTCTCATTCATGTTTGGGGTTTATTTTCCCTTCTGCTGCTGCTCGGCAGGAGTCTGGTCATCATCTGCTTGTGGGAGTGGGAAATGGGTGTTTTTAGACCAACACACATTCTAAATTTAAAATGAGTAATAATTGGAACATATAAAGGTCCTTGTACCCAAAGTGACTCCACACGGGAAAAACAAACCACTTTTTTCAGAGTGTGACTGAAGAGGAGGAAAGAGTTCGGAAATATGATGCAGTAGAACAGGTTTTGAAGGAAGAACATATTCTCTCCTGTATTTGTTAAGAGGAAATCAGACAGTTAAAATGCCTGCTAATCAAATGTTTACTTAGCTCACCATATGTCCAGGTTGCCGGCAGAGTTTCTTTCAGATATGAGTGTTGCCTATTGAATTTGGAGAACTTTAGACAGCAAGTCTGTATTCCCCCCCCCCTTTTTTTTTTGCCACAACCAATAGGACAATAGCAGAATTAGCCAATCCTAAAACCTTCTAAAGACAATTTTTGAATGTCCCACCGGGATAATTGAATTTTTCTTTCTGATGTGTGTTTTTAGTTTAGAAGTGCTATCTATTCTACAAGATTTGAGTCCGTGAGGTTGGAAGATATCCTATCTTTTTTTATTCAAAAAGCACAATCAATCTTTTCTTTGAAAATCTATATAAAGTACAACTTGCTTTTAGCATGATTATTTTCCTAAATAAAAGACAAAGAATTTACTTATTTTATGTTAATTACGGGCATGAAGCAAAAGGTTTTCTTTAAAAAAAAAAAATTTAAAGTGCAGTTACGTAGGGCTGTGGTTAGTTAACCGTACTGAGTTATCTATCTAGCATTTGTGGCTTGTTGGAGGGGTAGTGTTAACTATTTAACATGGAATGGTGTGCTTTAACTTTTCTAGCGCGTTGTCTTCTCATTATTTTGGGGGAGGGAGGGTCTCTGCTGGCACTGTCTAACCTGCTTACCTGCCGAATTAGCAGTTTGCTTGTGCTATAACTGTTTAAATTGTAGGTGCGACTTAGGGTAGGCTTTAAAGTGCTGGGTGGTGATTTGAGTTCAAACAATAAAAAATTGTATTTTTTCAATATTGTATAAACAATAGTGTTCTAATTACCTTTCAAAAAAATAATGTCCAAATAATAATTGCTTTTAATCTTGTCAAAACGAAACCCAACAAACTAGTAGAGCCAAGTTTAGAGGGGGAATGTATGTGAGCCACAGCTCTGCTCCCCAACTGAATCCATTTTTCTCAAACAAAAAAGAAGTCAGCTTGTCGTGGATTGAACGCTCTGGCACCGGGAGTTTGGTGGTGTGGAATTTCCGAATGAAGACATATTGGGGGAGGTTGCAGGCGTGAAGCCGCAGATCTGAGTATGGCTGCAGCATGTGTGCGTGTATGTTTGTCCATCCAAGTCCATCTGATGAAGGTGTAATTAGGCTTCCCATTAGCACAGAAGCTTCTGGAAATGCCACCCAAATCACGCTGTACCCTCTCGTTCTGTGCAGATCTGTCCTTTCTGGGAATTAACCTTGGGTCCCATGCATGCTTTTGGCTCTGTGTGGGGTTCTTCGTATCCTCTGAGAAACTGGTTTTGAGGGGTTGAGCAGAATCCCTTTTTTTTATTATTTTTGTCCCTTCCTGTACCTGGGTAGGACAAGGAGACCATGCTTCTAGGTGCAGAGGGAGCTGGAAGAAGGCCTGGCTGTGAAGCAGAGGATTCTGCCCCCACTAGTAGATGATACTGTAAGGCTTAGAAGAGGGGATGTTACAGCACCAAAAGCTTTTCCAGGTTTCCCATCATAACACTCAAAAGCATCCAGAGCCCCTCAGAAGGGCTGAACACTATTGCCCTTAAAGGTGGTGGTAGTAGGTCAGCGTTGCTTCTGGCGGTTTCCCTCCCTTTCTTAGTGTACCCATAGTTTTTGAAGTTTTACCTTGTGGTTTACCAGCGCAAGCCATCCTCTGCCCCCGTTCAAACGACCGGGCTCAAGCTCTTGCCAAAACCGACAAGCGAGGTGGCCACAGCCCCAGCCCCGGGGCCCAGCAGGTTGCATTTAGTGGTAGCCAAGCCAGATGCTGGCATTTCACTCTTTTGTCTTCAGTCTTCTCGCCCTCCTTGAGGTTATTGTGCAGTTTCAACCAGCATTTTATACTAGGGTAGTTCTCAGAAGTTGCCATATGTCTCTCCAGTACCTAACATTATTCTTCCACTTCAGAAGCTGTTCTGATTGCCAACTGGCTGATCTAAGCTCCTGAGGAGGGTCTCCCCTCGAAGGATTTTTCCCCCCCTCAAAATGCTCCCTGAAGCCCTGGTTGGCCTTGGCCTGACACTTGCTTTTTATTAGGCCTCCTATTATGGCCGAGAATCATGAAAGACAGATCCTCTGCTAGCCTTCATGGGTAAAGTTGCTAGACACCAAGTTCCTGGGAACTGGTGTTTGATTTTAAATGGCGCCTGGCCCTTCTACGTTCTAGGGACTCAATCAGAAAAGTGAAAGCCATTAACAAGAGTTAGCAAGAGTTCCATTTCCTTGTACCAACTTCCTAACCAGGTTCATGGCCTTCTTGACTAAAATCATTTCCGATTGGGCGCAAAGACCTGCGTTTCTTTGGACTTCTGAATCCATGTTCATATTTTCTCTGGCCATGGAACACCTTGGCTGTTCCATCAGGGACTGGAGTGGAGGCCCCTTGGGGAAGGGAAGCTAACAGCCCTCGGGTGGGCAAGCTCTCCACCCACCAGAGGGAGGGCCAGGATTCTTACTTCAGCAAATACTCGTCTTGGCTGGGGGCTTGGGAAGAAATGGCCATTATTTACTGATTGTATTTGGTACATATTGTGTGATACTTGAAGAGAAAAAAGGGACTTACCAGCCCTTAATTGAAATCTAAGCTTTTTATCGCTTATTTTTTCCTTGCCCTATCTCCTCTCTTCCACCTTTTTCCTTGCATTGTGATGATCTAGCGGGCACTTCTGTCAACAGGACAAATGCCTCCTCTGACTATAACCTCTTAATAGTTGTGTATAATGAAAACTGTAAACTTTTTTAAATAAAATGTGTATATACCTTGGCAAATGGCTGGACCTTGATCAATAAGATGATAGCCTCCATGACTACTTAGCCCTAAAAAGGCACCACCAAACACCTTCCTTGTTCATCTGACTCCTCTCAGCAGCAGACATTGGCTTGTTTTTTGTTTTTTAAAGATTTTATTTATTCATAAGAGACAGAGAGGCAGAGACCTAGGTAGAGGAAGAAGCATTGGCTCCTTGCAGGGAGCCCGATGAGGGACCTGATCCCAGGACCCTGGGATCACACCCTGAGCCAAAGGGGCAGATGCTCAACCACTGAGCCACCGAGGTGCCCCTTGTTTTTGTTCTTGACAGAAGCTCTTACAAAGGCAAGTGACTGGGTTACTTTGGGAAGGGAGTGTCACCTTTAGGCAGTAATAACTTAAGAGGCCCCACCTCCAGGTCCCATCTCTGTACCTGGAATGGCAAGTAACTGCTGACTATATGAACAAGGCTGGCTGTGAGGCTTCTCCACAGCCTTGAAAGGCCTTCTCTTCTGTGAAGTCCGTAGCCTGAAGGACCCCACTGCCCCCACATGGATCAACAGGTATGGCTTCCATGTTGCCGGTCAGCTAATGCTGAACGAAGGGTATCCACTTGGCCTGGAGCTCACAGGCAGTGCAGCTTCCTGCCTGGGCGATCTGCCTAAACAGGGGGCCCCGCTGCACCAAATGCCAGCCTCAACCGGGAGGGTGGGGAAACACTGGATTTGGGATCAGAAGGGTATCGCTGGGTTGGTTAGCTTCTCATTTCAACTCCTCTCTCTAAAGCATGTGCCCTCAATGGCCACCAGATGGCAATGTTGCCTAGGCTACTGGAAAATCCACTTGGGCTGGATTTTGTTAAAGCCCCTTAAGATAAAGGGATGACTTGATCACATGCTTTCCTTCCCCAGCTGGCTCTCTTCCATTGTTCTCTTCTTACTCAATTTCCCCAACTCCTTGATTCCTCCCTGTATCCTAACACATTCTCCAGTAGACCCAGCTTCGTATCTACCAGGGAGAGGGACAGTAAGGCACCTAGGAGTGGTGCTCTAATGTGAATGAGCACGGGAAGCCCTCCTGGGGCGAGTGAGCCCTCAGCTACCCTGGCTGCCTCCAGTGCTCAGAAGCAAAACCTTCAACAGGTTCTTTGCAGCTGGTGCTCGCTGACCCCTCAGCCAGGACTAGTAGACCAACCAGCGCTGTGGGTCCCTGTCCCATCTCTTCCTTCCTGTGCGGCCTCTGGTTCGTGTTTTTAAATGAGGTCCCTCAACGAGTAGGTTCTGGCTCTGACCCTCTGTGACTCTGAACTCCATTCAGTATCCTGAACTCCAATACCGTGTCCGGGATGCAGTATCCTGAGGATATTTCAGCAACCTGTGAAACTGAGGTTTCAAGATCAGACGTTTTTGGGACCCAAACAGCTTTGGAAGTTCAGAGTATCCCATTTAATTCTTAAAAGAATTAAGAGGTGTATGAGTCATGTGCACAATCCATTCTACCGATCTCACAGGAAGCTGCTTTAAAAACCATGGGAAGTCCCGGTGCACTTGTTGGGGCTTGGGTCCCCCCCCCACCACCACCACCACCACAGTAATCTCACACCCGGTGTCACTCTTTCCTCAGCCTCAGTCCAGCTGCTTCCCAGGGGGCAGGTGGCTTTCCACTGCCATTGGGGCAGCAAGTAAGTACCCCCTTCCTGGGAAGGGAGACCCAGGGTTTCTGAGGTGTATTGTCCTGGCACAGAACTAGGGAATCCCAGGACTTGTGTCACCTTAAGTTATCTTGCCATCTCTGAAGCCTGCTCTCCATCCCAGGGAATGAGTTCCTGTGACGCTAGACCCCGGTGGTCCCTACTCCCCACCCGGAAGCAGGGCAAAGAGAGTTTTTATGGTTCCTACAATCTCCAGCTCTGCAGAGGCCCTGGGGGGCTGCCTGCGAGACTGAGCAGCCTTGCTTATGAGGAGCCCACAGGCTTCTCAGACCCAGATCCCCAGGTGAACCCAGGATGATCCACCTTAGGTCAACCCTGCTCTCCCGTGCCTCATGTTGTAGGATTTGTGCACTAGAACTTCTTGCAACCAAAGAGATGCCCTGACAAGGGATTTAATGTTAGATTAAAAGATACAGGAATATGGGATCCCTGGGTGGCGCAGCGGTTTAGCGCCGGTCTTTGGCCCAGGGCGCGATCCTGGAGACCCGGGATCGAATCCCACGTCGGGCTCCCGGTGCATGGAGCCTGCTTCTCCCTCTGCCTGTGTCTCTGCCTCTCTCTCTCTCTCTCTGTGTGACTATCATAGATAAATAAAAATTAAAAAAAAAAAGATACAGGAATATTTCCTTTCTTGCTCTGTATGTGGGGTGTGTGTGTATGTCTGTATGTCTATTATGTTTTGGGTTTTTTTTTTTTTTTTTTTAAGGCTGGACACTTGTGTGGTGTTGGGCTCCCCAGAATCCTTTGGGTCTCAAACTTGGCTCCTAGGACCTGGTGTCGGGGTGGCAGGGACAGACTTGGGCTCCCTAAGAGAAATACAGCCCTTCTGGCTGCCCCATCATTGCTGATTAACCAGGAGAGGGGCTGCTGGAGAGCTGTGAGGTTTGGCCTTCAGGTCTCAGCTTCACCTCCTGAGGCCCCTACTAGCTAAGAGCAGAACACACAGCTCCCTTTAAGAAGCTTCAGCCTAGATCCTGTTCTCTTCGGTTGTATAAACAGTGAATCAGGTGCCTGTTACCAGTACATATTTCAAAAGAAATACTGGTACTGGTAACAAATCATTCCAAAAGCATGTGAAAGTCTCCCATGAAGCCTTCCTCCAGAGATGATTCAAAGATAATGGTGACCTCAGCAGTGGCTGAAGAGGGCTTCCCCTTATGATCCTCACTCTGGCCCTGGGAGTCCCTCCAGAAGGGGACCTGGCCCTGGACCTATTTCATATTAACTGCTTTGCGAGGCACCAAGAGAGAAGCACAGAGATAGTGAGCAGCCAAGTCTTCAGGCCACAGGTGAGTATTCTTTCCATGGGTTCATGC